TGCCTAATTACATAATCAAAAAGATCCCTTGAGGAACACAGTATTGGACAATAGAAAACACCAAAAAAAAACAAACCTTTTCACATAAATGCTCCTGATTAGCTTTGTACCCTGGAACGCTGTCTGGTACATTGCACTATAAGTGCAACGTCCTACAGATGGATAGACGAGTGCAGAGGGTGGGGTGTAGTCTGACGGTTTTGGGGTGGTCTGCAATAGGGTTTATTGCAGAAGGCTGGCATGATAAACTCTGAGGGACTTTTTTTGTAGATGGTGTATGGATGTCTCACTTTATCATGTAATGTGGTATTCAAAAAATGATTATTTGAAAATTACCAAACATGGGAGAATTAAATTGATCTTCAATTTCAAAACTTATAATGAAAGGTAAAAAACAAAATTCCACCTGTCACAAATCTAATGTCCCAAGATTACATCAAATTAACAAGATAGCCAGTGAGCAACATTAGATTTGCTTTTTATTGAGCTTTAGCTGACTAGTAAGGCACAAATATTACTATATCTCTAAAGCTTATAAGCCATTGTTTGAAATCCAAAGGTTTCTAGTGTTTGTCAATGTAATGGTTTTCTCATATCAAACATAAGTTAAGAGCTATGTGCTTATCATGAAATTAGCATTACACCCAAGCAACTTACAGTAGTGGTTGTTGTAGTGGTGGTCGTTGTTGTAGTTTCTTCATCTAACCACTTTTTCTTCTTCGTGTCGAACTTCACGCTTCTGACTCCAGCAAGACGCGAAGGCCATTGCACTACCCTTCAAGAAAATCCATTATTATAATCATTTGCAGTGGTAACTAATTGTTCCTACACATCTTCTGAATCCACTGGCGGCATAAATTTCGCTGGATCACCTTTGTAGTCATCTGGCTGAAACATAAGCATTTTAGCAAATTCCTGCCTGTCCTTCACTCTCTCAGTCTCTACACCAGATTATATAATGTTTGATTCATTAATGTACCAATTCCGCGGGTTACTCATAAAGCAAAGCATCGTTAACGAATATCGTCAATTAGTCGGCGCTAGTCGGGTTGATGTTCGAAGTTCGAACGAGCTAACGACACTAATGAGTAAATAATTGGTTGCTAGTCAGTCATGTAGATGATTGCGTAGTCTAAAGATTGGATATGATTTCAGATAACGCGCACTTTAAAAGCCTTAAGCTGCGTAGCAAAGTATGAAAACGACAAGAAACAAATGTAATGCAGCTTGAATTATATTATAGGAAAAAATTGAGTTTCATGTGAGATTGTGATAAAATTTTTGGTTGGAATAATGCGTGATAAGCTCAATAGTTGATTAGAAGAGTAGATAGAAGAAAATTATGAGCACTGATCCAGTATATTTGAAAAGGTTCAGAAAGCCAGAAAGGTCGGATTTGGCAATATTTAGGATACTGAGATGAGAAGCTGTGAAAAGCAGGAACAAGTGGTGACAGCCGATATTCGTTGGAGATTATTGGTGCCATGTAAAGAGGAAGGTTTCAGAAA